AGAACAACCATACAGTCACAGTTTGAGAAAGAAGACCTCAAAAAAGCGATTATTACATTCCGTATTTTCTTAATCTTTCTGCTGAGGTATTTCTGCACCAAACTCTTGGCATCTGAAGTTTTTTCACCTGCTCTCTTAAGGGATGGCAAACATATTGATGTATCAACACTGCAGGCATGGATAATGGAAATCCCAGTTCAGTATCCTGAGGAGCAGGATAGAGACTCGTGCTCTTCAGGGGAACTCATGGGCAAGAATCAGTGCAACAGCCTTGGTGGTGAAAGAGTTTCTGAACAACAAAATCAGGGACAAATTTTCAGCCAAGGAGTCCTGTGAGCCGCCTTTGCCAGGGAGAGGCTGAAACACTCCAAAACTCTTTAAATCAATGCCATGTGAAAGGTTTTTACACTGGTTCTTTTCTCTAAATGCCARTTTGACCGAAAGTTTGGCGAGAGCTTCCTTGGAATAAAGCAGTGCCGCTCTCCAGAACACACAGGGCTGTCGGATGTAGCCAGAAGTTCAAGGCACAACAGGATATGGAGCAGTGGGAAGACACCAAACTAAACGTTTTGGTGGAAGGGGCGGTCATTTGAAACACAGACTTAGGTGCTGGGTGCATCTGCAGTAAAAGTTGGCGCCAAATGTAAGTGGAGGCCTACGTTCAGTTCTATCTTTATATACCACCCTGTGGCATATGAGAAAACATTTGACCTAGATTCCAGTAACTGGAAAAAAAAGGAACAACAAACTTGAAAGTAAAAATCCAGGACAGAAGCCAGAAGATAAGTTTAAATGTGAAGGAGTAAAGCAACTCAACACGCTAGATGATTAGTAGCTCACTGTATAGGGTCCCACTTCAGCCCTACAGCCTGGATTTTCTGCAGTTTGCAATCACATCAGCTTCTGAAGGGAGGCAAAGAGCAAAGTGGTGGCACGACTGGTGGGTCTTTCACCAGTGAGGGAAAGGCATCAGAATCATGTCTGGAAACTGGGAGAAAAAATAAAAAGAGAGGAAAGCAGTAGATGGGAGCCCTGCTGCAGAKGCACTCAAAGAACCCCAAATGCTTCAGTGATTTACATCGAACACTGGATTTATTTACCCAAATCCTATATCTGAATGACATGTTTGTGTCAACCGAGAAGCTTGGAACTCAACTGCAAGGTTCTAGCACATCTCAAAATGTGACATGGGGGCACAAGATACCTCACAAAGTGCAGACCAGGAAAATTAAAATACTCTGTTCCTGTGTGTACATGTGCTCATTTAAAATCCATTTTTAATGTCATTCTAGTTGAGGGTTATTWCTGACATTTTTCTGTTTCAGTCACCTATTTTATCACTTTATCAGTAGGTGGCAGTAATAGACGACCCCATGCAATTTTAACTTCATAATGGGGTTTTAGGAAAGAAAACACCCTATTTTAGGGTAAAGCATCTCATGTTTATTTACAAATTTGAGTGATGAGGCTGTATGTGATAAGCTCAGACAAGCCTCTTCCTCTCAACAAACAGAGAAGTTGTTCCTATATTAAGTCTGGTATTAATGACTACATTAACAATCACTGTYCCATTAGCTCCCTTGCTACACCATACTCAAGCCTTCTGCCCAGAGCCCCTCTGAGCCAGCAGGGAAAACCTCCTGGGTTTACCTTTGTGTCACTGACACCAAAGGTTGCATTTATTTTAATGTATAACCCTATAACCTAATTTAAACTTCCTTCTAGTATTTCCCCTCCTTTCTGCACAATTTTGTAGAAGCTGCTTAAAAAACTTGCCTATTAGCATTAGCTAAGCAGCCTGCTACTAATTTAATACCTCGTGTAGGATGGAGGATTTGGCACGTAATGGAGAAAAGGGAAATGGTTTTCCATATTGAAACGATGACAATTTAAACTGAATATAAGCCAAGGAGATGAATCTAGGGAATACAAAACAGCCCACAAATACCACACCAATACTACGGATACACTATAAGTTACCATTAMCTTACCATTGGGAAGCCTCGCTCCCTCACTGCAGCAGACGCCAGGATAAGATGAAGAATGGGCTGCTGGAAAAGTGTCCGCTCGAATCCAAATGCTGTTCCTGAAGCTGTCATTCCAGGGGGTGACAGCCCCAGCTCGCGCTCTAACAGTGAGCAGGCAGTAGCTTCTGGGCCTGAAACAAAAAGCGACAGCCTAACGGGACATGAGGTAAAACCAGACAGCACCGAATAAAACACTAGCTGGAGAACCCAGCTCCTTTTCTTTCTTTGTTTTTATTTTCATTTTCATTGAAGTCAGTGGGAATCAAGTCAGCTGGTTTGATGAAAACAGGTTATTGCTTCAGCAGATAAAGTCCAGCAGATAAAGTTCAGCAAAACAGTCCATTTTGCTGKTTTTTTTTTTKKKGGGGGGGGGGGAAATGTGGTACTTCCTGATAAAACAGGTATTTATTTTTAGAAAAAAATTCAAAAACTTTCAGAGATTTGCAAGTAGCGTTTGAGGCAAGATGATTGAGCATTAAACTGGAGTAACAAGAGCAGACTATCCAAACCACTGCAAACGTCAAAAGAGCAAGAAATACAGTGACAGCAAAGACACGTGATGGCTTGGAGGGCATGGATGAAAAGACAGTGTTTAAAATGTTAATTGCTGGATAAAGCTGGCATGAGATAAGAACAAATCTTACCATTTTCTTCAGAGAATCTTGTTTCATTGAATAAAGGCACATATTGCTATGTGATCCAAAGCTATAAATAATTATAATCATTTGAACTGCCGATCTTCCATGCCCTTTTCAAACTGGCAGTTTGTGAGCAGTATATATCCATTCAAAAAAGTGGTAAATGAGGTCCCTGTAAATAAGGATGTTCTGTTTTCCATGGAGGTGATATCTGCTATAAAAATACACAATATATTACACTCTAGCTCTTTCCTTTTTTAAAAAGATAGAAGCACAAAACCATCTTAATAGATATAAAATGAACTATCTGATTATGTTGTGGACTAATGGAAGAAACCACACATAAAACTTGGCTATTAAAATCTGACATCCAATCCTTTAACAAATAATTCAAGAAAAGTTTTGGAGAAAAACCTTGTGCCCAAAACCACAAACCCTCAAGCACAGTACATTCTTAAGACTGAAAATGCCRAAGTTTTGTAGCTAGAGCTTTCATTACAAGCGATACTCAAAGCCGCTGTGAAGTGCTCACCTGAAGGCCTCAGATGCTGGTGTTAGTTGGGAACACAAAGCAAGATGCCTGCAAGCCCGCAATATGCCGTGGGGTGTTGGTATTTTAGAGGGGCCTGTTAGTGATGAGCAGCAAATGAAGTTCTTACAGGGCCCCAGGGCAGGAAGCTGCCCGGCCTGCCCTGCTCCTGCTGCTCCTGCTGCGGCTGCAGCCTGGGCCYGCGGCGCACGAGGACAGACGGACACGTTCCCACAGGGATCGCAGCGGCTTCCGCAGCGTTCRCAGCCTCTGAAGGATTCCCTGAAGAACCTCACTGGGCGTTGGGTTGCTCCCTTCTCAAAAATGATATTTAAGTGCCATTTTTATTTCACCATCCAAAAAAAACGCTACTAGTTCAACTACTAGGCCTCTTTCTGTATCCCCAAAATAAAGCTGAACACATCAGGCATTAACAAATAGTCTTGTTAAAAGTTAGGAAGCAGAATTTAAAACTGAAAAGTGTGAAATGCAAACCAGCATAGGCCCTAAACAAGAAAAATCTACTTTTTGAAGTACACATATTGTATCCTACAGTCCTGCTCAAGCCAGACATTTGAATGCTCCTCAGAAGAGCTACTGTGAAGCTGCTCTGTGCCTACCAGGCTACTGAAGTTCCCAGTTACCAAATCTTCAAATTAAAGATGTCACAAAAAAAAWGATTGGTTACAAGGAATATAGTTCTTAAAATAATATTACAAGAAGCATATTAACAGGGAGGTTCCTTTTAGCACAGCTGTGGTGAAGGAGCAGGCCTGTGGCAAACCCGTCTCTCCTGTCTGATGAGGCTGGTGGCTGGATGCAGCTGCCTGCGCCGTGTTACCGAGGCTGGGCGGCAAAGCAAGGGCTGCCTCCACGCCGAGGGGATCTGGTTATTGCTGCTGCACAAAGCAACAACAAGCATTGATGGAAACTGCTAAAAATAACGCTGAGAAACAATATGCACCGTGAGCTAAAAAAAAAAATCCAGAAGATTTAAYTCATCAACCTGGCCTTTTCTTAGCATCTAAATTTAACATGTTGTTATTTCCCAAGATCTCAGCTCCTCAACTATCCTTTGCTTTGCATTTTTTTTATGGTGCTAATGAAATCCAAGTCTCTGCACGGGAAATATGCTCTGTTATGGATGGTTGCTTGGAGCTTGGCACTCTCAGCCTYGTAGAGCTCTCCAGAGAAACTCTCCTCAGCACGATGCGTAGGGCCCCATTCCAGAGGCAGTTTCACGGAGCCAAATGCCAGCACTGCGGAAGCCCGAAACACGAGCCCCAGAAAACCAACGCAAAATCCAGCAGCGAGGGAACTCACCGCCCGGGTTCGCCTCAGGGACATCGCCACCCCTTTGGAACAGGGATGCAAATCCCAACCTTCACCATCTCCGATTAAGATCCACCATGGTGTAAACCTGTAGCTGTTCAATGGCCCCCTGGGCCAAGGCTATATTTCAGTTTGTGTAGCCATGCGTTCATGGGGGTGCAGCTGTGTGCCTRTTGATGGTGCAGTGCTCTCAACGTGTGTCCAGAATAACCTGCATTTGCCGCTTGAGTCCTCATGATCTCTTGCTCTCCTGCGCAGAGCGTAAAGACAGAGCTGCTGAGGAAAGGGAACCCTCCTCCCTGGGCTGATCCAGGTGGAGTTTAAGTCCTTCCCCGAGCCTCGCAAGAACAGCCAATATATACAGTTCAGTTTACTTTGTAAAGCCATTTGAATCATTGCTCAAAATAAATTACAGGCAGCTACAAGCATATTTTTTCTACGGCTTTATTGATGTAGTCCTAGCAGGTAACTATACATCTTTATTTTGTCTACTGTTACAATGTTGCTTTACTAAGACTGTTTTTGTAGTCAAGTTTATTATAGCATTCACTAAACACATTTGTAAATATCATATACTGCAGAGGGCTGATTATTACAAACATCGTAAATCGCTGTCATTTCCTTCCTAAAGAGAGCTACTTGAGGAAAGGTCACACTACTCTTTTAAAATAAATTKGTATAGCAAATGAAGCAAATAAATTAAATTTCCCTTCCAAAGAAAATGCGAATGTTAAAAACAGTTTCGGCGTCTGTATGACTCATTTAGGTCTCAGRAAAATCTATGACTGGCAAAGAAATCTACAATTTGATAATGTACTTAATACTTTCATTACGGCCAAATGAATCTTTCTGAAGCACTGAAATTTAATTTGTTAATTGGCCTTCAATTTGTTAGGAGTCAATGTTATTTACCGTAAAATGCACTACCTCCTAAAATACTGTAATTATGGGTTAATTATTGATAACTGAAGAAAAAATGCAAGGAGTTATAGCATGCATCCCTGGTAACAAATTTTAACAAAAGACACATTAACTGCAAACGGACTCAAAGGATAGTACAAAAGAGTTTCTTCTCCCGAAAGGGATTTTCAGATGCAGGCACTGGAATAATAAGGGGATCCTCTCCAATGTGAGCATCGCAGTATGCCAGTAAATCAGCAGCAGCCTTGGATACCTAGCAGAAGATACGAGAGAACCATGGTAAGGCTTAATTCCAAGTCAGTCAGCACTGCACAAATATCCTTCATATAAAACAACATATAGGAAGCCCTTTCACAGAGTGGGAATACTCTGCTTTCGAGCTCACTACTCTTGAGTTTGTTCCTCCTAGGCCTAATCATTGTTGCGCACATTTTATCTAATACCCTGCCATAAAATGGTATAGATTTAAACGATGGCTGTCTAACTGTTCCTCTTCCATTGGAAACACGGTCAGGAGCACCCCCTGCTCCTAGACAGGGGCAGCCCAGGCTCACAATGGTGTATGTAGCTCCGTAAAGGCCTTCAGCCTCAGCTCTTCATCCAAAACCTTCTGTATTCTTTGGGCATGTTAACATGGAATTGAAAAGCAGCAACAAATCAGGAGAAAAACTTGATCTTTTTGGGTCATAGCTCCCATTTAAGCTGAATACTGCCCTTTTCAATAAATGCCATCTAACATTTTCTGTTTAGTGAGTTATAATAAGTAATTCAAACCTGATAATTGCCTTTAGGCCTTTCAGACTTGTCAAATAAACCATTCTAAAGTTTCCAAACTTAGCAGTCTACTTCAGGTTTACTGAGAAGTCCTACAGAAATGCAACAAAACATGAAAGTATTTCTGTAAATTTTAAGAATTACCTTATATTATCTAATAGAAATCTCTGACTTGTTGTCCAAGTCTGTGAATGCTTATTACACACATTTTATCCAATTTGTGAAGCAGTTTTAATTCAGCGTTCCCTGTTTCAAGTAGCCAAATTCAATATAATTCCTATCAAGATATAGTCACAGTCTGCCAATGCACAAGATCAGTGTGTTGGCAGTCAGGATATTGTGCATGACATTAAAAATGAAAACATTTTGTCTGCAGCTGAAATCTTGTAGCCTTTGCAGCCTGGYTTAAAATGTTGGTGACATTAGACTCACTGTGACTCTTGTAAATTTTTTCAAGAACTTCTTAGAACTCATATACAAAATATTTTTTTTCTGCTCAGTTAGCAAGACAATTTTTACAACAATCTGAATCTCTCTTTAATTACTATGTTTTCAGTATTACCATAGATACTGAGACGGGGAGTCTTTGTAAAATAATGTGTTCCTCTGAGCACCGTGTCAGACTCTCCTCAGTCAGATGCTGAGGTTTGCATGTTTGCACAACTATAGTTTTTCCACAGCAGAGAGCAAAAATAAATCTCCTTTTTTTTATCATCAGAGGTGTCACTGCTCTCATGTTGCTTCCTCACGCTCAGCTTGCTTTGGCAGGAGCCCAGCTTGGGGCAGGCTTCAGGTAAGACCTGTGCAATCAGTTGCACTCATAGCCATTTCCCCAACTTGAAATATCCACTAAAAGATGTCCTGCTAGAATGCTTACAACCATAAAGTGCTTAGGGTTGGCATCCTAGGAGAAACCAGGAGGCTTCGAGGAAGCTRAGGAAGCAGAGCTGCAAGATTACTTCAAATCAGCTTGACTTCGAATTACATGGTGATACAAGAGGGTGGGCAGAGATGTTACATGTGAGCAATGGATTCCTGGGCCAATACAAAGTAGAAGATTGAAAACTGGACTGAGCAAATCAGCTATTCAGATATTCAGGAGGACTAGGGCATCTGAAAAGAGGGGCACTGCAAACCAAAACGAGCTSTAGAGTCTGACTTCAAGTGTAAAGAAAGGATTGTGACTATTTTCAGACATTCTTCAATTTTTTGCTTGCTAGGCAAAGACAAAAGGATGGATTTTACAGTGTGATGGCACAGTCTGGAGCCACAGAAGTAGAACTGTAATGGCAAAGTAGATAGTTGAGATTGATATTATACTAATCATTTTCATTTAAATTTATTAGAGAATTTTAAAAAGTTAGATTCTCCAAAGAGAGGCACAATATAGGCACAGTACTCAATTCTTACCAAGCTCAAGAAAGATCAAAAGGCAGCAAAAGTACTTCTCTTTGCAACTGATCTRTGCTGTATCTCAGCAAAGTCTAAACTAACACAGAATCCATTCACTGTAGAGGAACTCAACCCGTTTCCAAGAGCTTTGGGAAGATGCACACCACGGCCTTTGGAGAAGCACTTTCAAGTCATGAGAATCCCAATTCTACTCGTGCTTATTTAACACACACATTTTCACTTTTCCCTTGTCCTTCATGATCAGCTGTCTCTCTGAAGAGACAGCTCTGTGCTCTAATTTATTACTGGTCCTGAGCTCTCAGTCCAAATGAGCAAGTCAAATTCAGAGCCACAGCTGCCCACAAAAAGCTCAGTGCCATTTTCAGTGCTATGTCACAATAAACTTTATTGCCCTAAAATCTAATGGAGAGCTACTTTAATCCTCAGGGCCCCATAAAGAGAGGTTATTAAAGACACCTGGCACATCCATCTTCAGTTATTAAGCTGCTGAATGAGTTATTCTGTTCAAGAGAACAGTAATCTTTTTAAGGAGATGGATCCTGTAAAGGCAGSGGATCGACAATGAACTTCAACAGACTGATCTTCCCGTAGCTGTTTTGCTTGTTCCACATAAGGATAAGCAGCATCAGCCTAAGTGTACTGTGAACTGTTGGATGGAAGAGCAGTRCAACAAGGGATGTGAAATATCACAAAGCAGGGCAAGCAGATTCTTCAGCATTGCAGTGTTCAAACAACACAAGCAAATGAGTTTGCTCTTGGATGAAATATAACACGGTTTAGATGAAAGCAAACCTGCAACATATATTTCACTGTACACAGATTCACTGACTGAGTTCTGAACATGTCAGCCTCAGCTAYGTCGTGTATTTTCATGCTTAAAAAGGGGGTGCAGGGCTGGAGAGAAGCACCCCTGCTACGCGGGGCTGCAGTGGCTGCAGAGGTGGGTTCTGGCCCCTGCGGCACCCAGCGAGGTGCGGGTGATGCTGGAGGCAGCCGGGCAGCGGCCGCTCTCCATGGGCAGCCGAGTCCGCTGTCGGCACCCCAGCRGCCACGCAAACCTTCCACGCTGACATGGAAGCTCAAGTCAGGACTGTGGCCAAAAAGGAGCCAACTGCAGTGCTGCCTCCAGCACATTTCCTGCCCTGTGTTATTCAGAGTGGCAGAGTGGAAGGCTACAGCAGAGGCAGCTTTTTTAGCAAATGTCAGCACACCGGGGGTGCCTAATGACCAATCATGTGATTTGTTATTCTATAAAATTACATCTCAATCATCCTACTTGTACCACAGAAGAAGTTAAATGAAGACCAGTGCACCATAGCTTGTACTCACCTTCAGCTGTTTCTGTAGGTGAATGTTGTCAGACAGTTTCCGAATGGCTTTAACCAAGAATTAAAATATATAMTTTGAACATTCAAATTAAACTAACATGCATTTATTATTTCTGCTCTCCTACGCAATCCTGCTTGACGTACAGATTCAAAGTCATTTATGCTGTGGAAGGGGCTAAAAAAAGAAAAAATCAGACTCTACTTTGATTGATGAATTTTAAARGAAAATTACCATTCCATATTTCTTATATTTTAAAATGCACATCTAGAGGAGCTGGAATACATATGTATCGAGCCAATCTCGCATTTCATACAAAAATTTTTATTCTCTGAAGTGTAAGAATACATCTGGCTGTCAATTTATCAGGAGAAAAAAAAGCCAACCCTGACGCGTTAAAGAATTAGTCTCAGGAGAACTGTGGAGTTTTACCATTACATTTCAGAGCAACAGAGGTGATAAAAACAGCCTAAGTTAGAACATAATCCTGTTAGCTGCACTAATAATTATAAGCTTCAGTGACAGGGGAAAATGCTGCAATTACTATGTCATCTGTCTTGTCATGGTGTGACTAATTACTATCCTGGCTACAAAACCCACTCTGTTTATCCTCTACATCTAAAATGAAGAGATTCACACATTTATCAGCAATCCCACTGCTTATCTCCTATCCCTATTCAGAGCCAGTTGGGAATATTTTCTACCTTCTTAAGAAAAAAAGAATAGTAGCTGATACACCAYGGATCTTAAATGTCAGAATATCCCTCCTTGCCTTCCTGCTTGTGAGGAGAAGATTAAACAGTGCTTTATCTTTGGGTGAAGATAAAGCTTCAGCTGTGGTGAAGCACCAATATCTCTTTGCTTTCTCAACTTTGCTGGGAGATACTGTAATCTCCCAGGCACAAGGCCATTGTTTGCTCTTGTTTGATGTCTTCTGGCATGGAATCTACCTCTCCTGATTCCTACTCAATGCAAAAGCATTTCTGAAAGGACTAAGAAACAAACCAACTCTTCCTCACAATCCCACATATGCTTGTTCAGAGAAATTCTGGAAATCAAGGTATGAACCTTCTGCAAAWCATACTTAGTCTATGTTAGTACAGGAACCATTAAAAGAGTGAAACACAGTAGATTCTGGGGTGCATTTGTTCTGTCCCAAGCTGCCTTGAAAGGTGAAACATTGCACTTCTAAGCTATCTGCTTTCTAGATTCTGCATCTGCCACATCTGCTAATACTTGTGCTTTTTAACATTAAATTTTATATATATATATATAGACAGAGATTTTACATATGTAATTAAGAACACTACAAATCTAACSAATGAAGCTGTCCACATAACTGAGTTAATGCTTTGGAACTTGAAAGGCATGGTTTTACTATATAAAAGCAATTTAAAAACAATCTACCAAGCATGGACGATTTAAATTTGTCCAAATTTGTCCATGTTTTCCGAACCTTTTCCTCTGTCACCCATTCACATCTTTTCCTTCTTGCCAGTTTCACTGTTCATGCAGCTACAGGATGAGCTGGGTTGGGGGGACTAACTCAACTGAAAATTAACCTGAAGTTTTACACTGTAAAATGGCAGAGTCATAGTTAAGGAGCTCTAAAGTACTTGCAAAAGGTGACTAAGAAAGAGTACAGTATGTTGTACAACAATATATGATTGGGAAAAATTTTTCTTCCATGTTACTTTTACAGATCTGATTCTACCTCTGAATGCCAAATTATTGCATAGCTCTATGGCACTATCCCCTTCTGCTTCCCACTGTTACCAATGTATGCTCTTGGAGTGACTCTTTCTGTTTCAATTTAAGAGCACTCTTTCATATAGGAATTTAGGAAAATCTATTTCTTTACATTTATTAAAAAGGCTTCGTGCAGAAAAGAATAAAGTGTCACCTTAAATGTACTCCAAGTGTTAAGAAAATAAACCAAAAGCAAAGACATTGGTTTTGCAATTGTCACCATGCAGGCTGAARAATTAGAAGTCTGGGAATTTACTGCCATGTTTCCAAACTCAAATTAGCAGAACACATGTAGCACTATAAAATGGGCAGTCGGGGTATCTGCTTTGTTGAGGTGATAGGAACACCAGTTTCATACCTCTGCTCATCCTTAAGCTCCTACTTCCCTATCGTGCCCAAACCTGTCATTTACGCCAGGTTTTTCCGATGGTCTTAGCTCTTCCTGTCCTCTGGGGAGCTGCTGCAAAGTGCTGCTCTACACAGCTCTAATTGCAGCCCCGTGACGCCAAGGCAGATGCTTCATAGCTGGTTCAAGGAAAAATCATTAAGCACTTAAATACACAGGAATTTCAATTAAAAATTTGAAACCTGGACGTGATTTAATCCAAAAGATTGAATGATCCCTGAGAAAAGGGGTTGCTGAGGAAGTCCACGGACCACTGAGGCTGTGATCACAGCACTGGGTGACATGGAGAAGGGAAGAGTCTCTGGGCCAACGTGTCTTCAGTTAATGCCTATCTTGAAGCTGATTTTTTTGCTCTGAGGTGTACCAAAGTAGCAGCATTTCAGGAAAAGTCACTTTGGTCCACCAAAACTTGGAGTGATCAATAGAATTAGGGCCTGAGGAGTGCCACATGAGTTGCAACGGTACAACCTGGGCAAAGGGACACCTAACTAGGGTATATCCATGTCAGTTCCCGCACTGCTCCTCCCTAAGGCTGGGAGGGAAGCCAGTTTGTTGTCCTGCCGGCCTCAACTTCGCTGCCAGGTTAATTCAAGTGACCACATTCCAACTTTGAATAAACAGAAATGACAGTCTGCATGTTAGGAGGCTCTGTGCAGGCACCATAATGAGGCACTGGTTGAGCAYCAGTAACAGTTGCCCTTTCCAAGACACTGGAAGCTGGGCTAAGAGCTTTGAAGAAAGGAAGGAAGAAAGGGAGCAGGAGAGAGAGAGAGAAAGAGAGAGAAAGAGGGAGGAGAGAGAAAGAGAGAGAGAGAAAGAAAGAAAGAGAGAGAGAGAGAGAGAGAAAGAGGGAGAGAAAGACAGAGAGAGAGAGAAAGAAAGAGAGAGAGAGAGAGAATCCGGAGAGAGAGAATCCAGAGAATCTAGATATGCCCTGGACTACACCAGTTATTCTATCTGCAAAGTGTAGTTCATGGTGCTGCTGTTGCCATCAGGTAAAGCACGTGAACACAGTCCTGTGTACACGGCCCGCCACAAGGACCCCCCGCAGCAGGGTTAATGGAGTGGATGGAGTGCCAGGAACCACAACATATTCCTCAAAACATTGAAGTCCACGTAGTGTAAGAAGCAGCTGGGACGCCAGGAGCAGACACGTGTAAGGAAACATTCTGCACTGCTGCCAAAAGAGGTCTGGGCTCAGGTGAGAGGAATGCGGCACAGGACTAACCATATTGAAAACTTACCTGTCAYATTACACTATAAAAAGGTAGGGTGATAGTTAAGGAAACAGAAATAACTGCCCCTACCAACACGTAGCTAACACATGATGAATTTGTGAAGATACTATACAAGAACACTACCACAGTTATGCAAATTCAGTCAACTTTAAAGGACATTGCTAAAAAGGAGGCAAAAGAGTGCAACTATAATTTATATCTTCATATAATCAAGAGCAAATACTCTTGTGAAATACTAACATTCCTGAATTAAAATACTGTCTTTCTTGTCAGTGAGTTGGTGATCTGATACTGTTTTTAATGGTAATTATATCACATTACTCCCATATTGACTACATCCAGGATTCTACCTCACAGGAGAGAAAGACAAACAGATTGAATTAAGATTATATTAACAATTTAAAGTATAATGTTTTCAAATCAWGTTACTGAAATTGCAACATAAAAATGTTAAACTGCATTTTATACATTGATTCCAGGAATTAGAGTCACATATAAGAGATCATTAAGCTTTAAATAAATTAATCTCTAAACAATTGTATTTAAAGAAAGAATACTGTCACTGGGAAGCTGTCTTTAATTTTTTAAGTAATTTTAGCACTAACAGTGATATCTGATCATCAGTGACCACGTACTTAGAGGATGGCTTGGTGTTTTTAGCATTAGAACATTAATGCCTACTGAATGAAGTTCTACCTCAAACATGTGCTACCACAACAAGACTTATCTGCAATAAGAACTCTCCAGCAGCTTTCTTTTCCTGTGTACTCCCACAACAAACCTGATTTTTACTTTTATACTCCATGATAACCAYGACTAATAAGAACTAAAGACAAGAAATATTGGCATTAAAGTCTCTGAACAGAGATACTTGTATCCTGTGTGAAACCCCTGTAGGGGGTTTCATTCTATTTTAAAGGACTTCAATATTACTAAAAAGAAACTATGGCAATTTTATTAAGAATTTCCAAATAATGCCATGTAATGATTTTAAAGAAATCAGAACTGAACATTGCAATCACACTACACTATCTGGGGCAATGACACCTGTACTAAAACAAATCAAACCAAGTACTTCAGTTTGTCTCATTATTATTTAAAGTCATTATAATGTCTTAAAGACTTATTTAAATTCCTAAGGAAACACTTTCCCTCGTATCGAGACACCTGAACAGCATTTATATTCAGATGCAGTGGGAAAAGGAGAGCAGCTGTGCATCAGTTAATGCATTTTAACAAATTTCACAAAATACTGCTTCTGTTCTGGCAGGTGTCACATAAAAATAGACTAGAAGTCCGTCTTTGAAAACAGTTTCACTAGAGCCAAGGAGTTAGCAAATAACTGATTCGTAAGAGCTGCAGATTGTTTTATATCTCAACAAAATCTTGATTTCAGCTGATCAAGTCTTTCACATTTAAGGGAAGTCAAACCAGAACGCAGTGAGTGAATTCAAAATATCAACAATAAGTCTAAGTTTACCTTCATCCTATCCATGTAGGCTTCCATTTTTAATTGCTCCACAGCTTTCCTCGCTTGGGATATACTGGTTGTACTGTTGGACATTAGCTCCTTCATTCTGTTTTCCTAGAAGGGTCAAAGCTGAAACAATTGCAAAGATAAGCCAGAGGAAATAAAGCACAAAGGAATAACTTTTTAACTGCTTTCATCTCACAAAGCACAGATGTACAAAGACAAAGTGAAGATAACCATTCCTGCCCCCTTTTAAGATACGTACATAATCTGTGCTGAAAAATGAAATGGTAGAATACAAATATGATAGTGAATCGTGCTCAACGCTATTTTGAAAATATAACATTTCAATACTTGTAACATAAAAAAGCAAAGAAAAAGTAAATGCTGATTTAAATTAAAGCAGTTGTATGAAAACAAGAACTTTATATTTGCTAGTACAAAGAATGTATTTCCTACAGCTCTGTTAACTAAAAGAATGGAACCCAAGTTTCTCCTTAAAGCACCTTTTAACCAACTAAAACCATGCTACAACACACTAACATCCTTTCC